ATTGGTCCATATCAATAAGGAGCTAAACTGATTGCGTTGATCAGGCAGAGTGAGCTTTGAAGAGCTGATGAATGTGCGTGAAGGTGAAGTCTGAAGGATGGTCAGTTCTAATCAATCAATCGTTGACAATTATCCCACAACACCACTCACATGTAATTGTGGAATAAATGCGAAGTATTTTTTAATCCGAGATGATTGCATCTTCATGTTAATCAACCAATTTATTTCAGTATATTCTTTTCTGTCATTGTTGTTTTAAAACGTTTTATTTCTGTTAGGATTTCAGCTTTAGGAATCGTTTGGTGGTCTACATAGGCTAGGTGGACAGGCTTTACCTCGTACTCACCCATCTTATTCTGTTTTTCGTTGTCCATCGCGGTTGATTCTACCGGAAACAGGTTGACTCAGTCCTTGTTCTACATCGTAATGAAATCTCAGCTTTCTCTGTATGTTCTATTCTAATGACTTCATTCTCCTCTTAACTTTCTCTTCTAGCTACTATCCACCAAAGGTGGTTATCGAAGATCCCCAACATAATTTGGCATTTCCTGTCTTCGATCCCAGTACCGGTCTACTGGACGAGTCCCAGTCAGAGTGGCTAAACCACTTGGACACTTCGGACACTGAACAATCAGAAACACGTGTCTGTCTCATCTATCTTGCCCAAACTTTAGCCAGTCCACGAGACGATACCCGTCAATTCTGGTTATCACTCGGACAACGTGTGCTTCGCTTGCATCGTGCACCGACCCGACGTGAATTGTTCCCCGTCAATCTATTTGTCCAAATCTGTCTCTTGGCCTTTGGTCCGGATCCGCTCTTGCATCATTTGGAAGCTCTGATTCGTTCTATCCTGTTAGTCCAACCTGGATCACAGGAACCGTTTGATGGGATCACCGAAGTGGTTGCACCGTGTTGGGCATTGTTGATCACACTGAACGTGACAAGTACCGCATTGCGGTGGCCTCGTCCTTGGCGGTTTTACTACCTTGGGCGTGTGCTGCCCCGATTACTTTCGTTGTTGGAATTGAACGCTTTGACGGTGTCCTCAAACGGGTTGACTCAAGCGGCCGCAAGCAATCAAATCCATCCTGAACTGGCCCGCCTGTTCTTTATTCCGTTACGGTATGCAGGGAATTACGGCGGAATCGGCAGTCGGAGTCACTCGAGTAAGATTGGTCAACTTGATAAAAAATCTTTACCGTTTGTGTACGTTTATTCATCCTTTAGAATGAGTGGATCACAGTATTTAATGAAATTCTTGTTTGGTTTCATAGCTTTGGCACAAACCGGATAAGATATAGAAGTGATATCCAATCCGGAAATGGTCAAAATATGCGCAGAGATCTCAGGTCCAGTTTTTGACCGTTGATTATAATCGTGTACTTGTGTAATGCATTTAAAAATAACGTGGTCCTTACGTATAGCTAATACATTTTCAACGTTGTTGTTTCTTATCTGGTATCATTGTTCAAACACATTCTGAAAAGCCAAATGTCCATTCCTCTTGAATGATAAGTGTTGTGCCAGTACTCTGGGGCAAGATAATTGTGATTGTCCACACCTGTTGGTACGTACGACAGAAAAAAATACAATCACGTAACGAAGCTTCGCGAGCAAAATGCAATCTTAGCAAACCAGAAACAAAAATTGCCGCGACAAACAGTGTGACAAACGTCAAAACTTTTGTGGAGCAACAAAAGAAAGCGATTAGAATGATGCACCACTACCGCTTTGACCAAATGTAGCAGTTCCGCGTTACATGCTATACAAACCAGTTTGAGACCCATGGTTTGGTTAAGTTGTTGCTTTGTTGTCAACACATGGTTCTATCTCAGAGGATAGAGCTTTGTCTGTACAACAGTTGTCATCAAGGGATGGGATTGGACTCAGCTGCGTAGTCAGATGCCCAACTCTGTTTGTAACATTCTCTATAGTGCAACTGGTTCTCCGTTCTGCCCCCATGTGGGTAGTCCCGCGCCGACACTGAAATTCGCAGATAATATTAGATTAAACGTACGAATAGAAGCGCTCCTTAATCTGGGTATGTCAACATCTGGTTGGCTGATCACTTGTGAAACTTCTTGGACCGGCTTAGCAGTCAAAAGCAGTGACTATTATTTATTCATATTGCGATGCTGTTCATGAAAGGAAATCACCGTGAAATGTTTTTTGACTCATCTTCGACTCAGTTGCTATCAAGACAATGATTTACCGATTGTTGATAATCGTTATTAAGTTCTGTGTGAATCATACTGTGCGGTGCCTACTCACCGGCTTATTACCATTTTACAGAGTTTAATTTTAAGCTATTTTCGCCTAGATGAGAGTACCTCAGTTTTGTGAATGACACCACGAAAGATATTCGGGATGTGCTACCGCTCGGCTCTTGCTCAGGCAACTGCCAATTGTGAGTAAATTAGCCACGTCCTCGGACGTCGCTGCGTATTGTTGATGGTCATTTATTTCGTGAAGCAATACTCACTGTGTAAGTGCCCGTTCTCGTTTACGTAACCTATAAATGCTGATCGTGAACTTCTACTATCCTGCGACCTCTAGGCTTTTGGAATTCCATATATTTGACTTACGAATTTTTACTGGACTACTGCGTGCTCATCTTCTATTCATCAGTGAAACTGTAATGGGTTTTTTCTGTCGAGTGAAAGTGGAATTGTTTATATATGTATCCTAGTTGACTCCAATCGTCTTACAATAAAACCGTAGCCGGAGACCTCAAGTCATACAATATTTTTGGGTGCGGTTTACTCTCTTGACACCTCAGATCATACAGCAAACAAGTCTACTCTACCCGATGCATGTGCCGTGAGTCAGTCAAATCCGAAATCCGAGGCCCAACTCATCGCGGATTCTGTAGCGACCGTTCCACAGACTCAGGCTGGTGGTCCCATTGGTCGCATGGCTTTTGCGTGGGACTTACTATTTTGCTGGCTTGCTGAGAATGGTGAGTTTGATACAAGCCTGTTGCATCCGTTATGGGACTGGACTCAAGAGGGGATCAAAGACTGCGAACATGAATTGCACGGTATGCCAATTACAAATCCTTCGTCTTGTTGTGTTCACAACAAAGATGCAGTGTTGCCCCCGGGCTGTCTGAAAACTGTGGACGACGAATGTCCCATATGTTTGTTTCAACGTTGCCTTCCGATCGCACATCGCCGTGTGTTCTATGCACGCATGTGCACCACCCTGGTCACGTATATTGGCTGGAAGGGGATTCGATTACACGGATACTTGAGCAATTGTCTACCCTCCGATCGTTCAGAGGAATCGAGTTCCGATGAGTCTGCATGGTTCCGCCAGGCCTCAGACGATTCGGTATGGATCCGTGACACTGCAGCAAAGGTCGCTGTTTATCGAGCTTGCTTGCCTCATGCTGATGTGTTTCATGGACGACGCGTCCCGTTACAGCTACTACCGGACTGTGAAACTGTAAACCCACCCGGATGGAAGGCCGTTGAAGCCGTGCTACCCGATCGTGAACAATTCCTTGCCAAGTTACTCGCAACCGATCAGAGTAAAGAGTTGCTTGGTGCACCGTTTGTCACAGAGACGGTGAGTCATTTCTGCAAGACTATCCTAATCACGTTGTTTACTTATTCACAGAAATAGAGGGAGCAGCTAAGCCAGTTAAGACTGATGATAACGAAGACGATTTTCTGTTTGCAAATTTCATGCTGTGATTACATAAGTACTTAGTTTACTCTCTGTTCCTTATTTGGGATGTTTCGCCACATACCATCATCACTAGCACAAACGTCAACTGTCATCGTTACGTAATCCGACCGCTTTTGTCTCCGTTTGCGTCATTCAGCCATATTTTAATTGCGACAAGTAAAATGATACCAATACCGACAAAATCTTACTTTAGAGATGAATGTTAGTTACGGCGAGTTGAAGAAAATGTTGTTGCTTTGAGCTATTGGTTGGTGGTTGACATGCTCAACTCGAGAAAATGTCAATTCATAGTTCGAACTTTCCAGATGTATTCAGTTCTGTTGTCGTACTTCTTTTTCATTTTTTTACAAGTACATGACCAGATCACATCCACAACCCGGCTAATGAGGATCTGACTTGAATCACTGGAGGGAGAGACGGGTGCACCTAGCCAAGTGTGCATAGACCAAAGTGAATTGAGAATCCTCTGCACAGATTGGATAATTCATATTGTCTCTCTCTATTTTCGGTTCCTTGTTCAAATAATCGAAATATCTGTGCACTGCGAACCGATGAAAACGTGTATCTTGTCCCATTCTCGGTACATAATGGCGATATTTAGTTTGTTCTCCAATGATGACGCGTGCTGTTTGTTCACCCCCCTTACTGACCCAGTACAACACACGTTTGGACTTGAGTAAATATTTTCGCCGTGAGTAATCCACATTAGACATGTGATGTTTGACTTCCTACCAGTTGTTTACCAAATATGTGGCTTATTTCGCTCTGTCCGTTCGTCTATCTGCTCACTGATGTGTCTCTATGATGATATCTTACCCATGTGTGTGTATCGGTGATATAATGTCACTCACCCAACACACACACATGTCTCATGTTTCTGAGCTTGTTTTCCGTGCCGAAATTTCGGGACGTTTTTCAGCCTGTGTGTGTGTGCGCGCGCCCGCATCTGTATCTTTCTTTTATCACCTTTGATTTCGAAATATTTCGTTTTCGTAAATAATTCACTCTTATGATTCATGAGGTAAGAACAGAACGGTTGCTTTCCCACTCTGTTCCATTGAATGCAGTCATTGAAAAACTATTAGTGGGTTTATTTTTAGCCTATTGGTATACATCTTGATACTTGTATGTGCATCTTTTCAGTCTTGAACAACTTCGTTTCGATAGCTCTGCTTTCGCGAAACAAATTGAAGGACTGATATAAGATCACAGTCATTAGAACACAGTATTGCAATCGAAGAGGTTTGTGGGATGAAAAAAGTAATTGGGTCTCGTGTGACAATCAAACCCCAACTACTGCGTTTTATACATGCGATGAGCTAGACACTTTTGACACTAAATAAGTATATTTAGAGACTTGAGAAGTGCGAGCACCGTATCTGTTGAAGCTGAGCACTTGGTTCAACATAAGGTGTATATGATAAATGTGTATCAAAAGGTACCAGCGTTTTGCGCAATAGAGTAACAAGCAGGATTTTCAGGTTCTGTGCGTTTTACAAATCCAGCCCTTTCTGCATCGAATTAAGGCATCCGGAAATCCAGATGTTTATCTGAGATGTTGATCTCATCAGAGTTGCCAGATCTAAACCCCTTGTCTGCTCAACGCAGATATATCTGTACGGGGATAAATAAACGACATTTGCTTGGTCTGAGAGTAAATTTCAGGTTTCAACGTTGCATTTTTTCAGAGTTAGTTCCTCTGAATCTTCTTGTAGATCTATGAATCAGAGTAGATCAAATTATTTTCAATGGGCATCATTATGCAAGTCTTTGCATTGACCCAATTCTATGCCTAGGGCTTTGATGACGCGCCGTGTAGGACTAAATTTTGCTAGGTCTATATTTCTACAACCGTCAGACATTGTTTGCTTTATGACACCCAAATCATTTTCCGTCCTATTCCTGCTAGCAGGTTTCTCATATGACTATGGTGAACGCAATTCAGTGAAATCGGAACTGCTAAACCCACCATAAAGAACAACACTCATTGTATTGATCGCGCATGTCAATTACTGGAAGCTTGATTTCTGTTCCATTCGTGCACATTTTTCGGTCGAACAGACGAATGGTGTTCGCCAATAATTCCCTTAGGTGGGGACCTCCGATTGTCTAATTTCCAGCCAAAGTTGGACTTGGTCTGTGAAACGTGTGCTTACTAGTCTTCGGATAGCTGAAAATTTCGCGGTCTGCTCAAAAGCTTCATCTAATTTGCAGTGCAACTTGAATCCGTTTTCAACATAGTTCATGAGCAGTAAACCGTTGGTGAAGTGTCGAAACAGCTAACGGATTAAACACAATTTCCACGGGTATCTCAAGGCCCGGAATGTCGATGAACATTCAAAACTATTTCCGCCCCCTTGATCGCGACTTGTCATCGTTTTGTCATTTCTTGTCCTCTCTACTTTTTTTACCGCCGTGACTGGAGCTTTTGTTCTTGATTGATAACGGCGGGTTATTTTATTTTTCGCACCATCTCTACTTCTCTTTTATTTTTTATTATACTAACGGTCGCTTCAACCATCATCACCATAGGGGGGGGGGCTTTCACAGACAAAACAGTGATCACATCATACTTCCTTTTGCCGAAACCCGTGGTGTTCGGTTCAATCGCATGTTATGTTCCGTGTACCGTGAGATGCTCCCACACCACCAAGCGTCTAAAATAGCCTCTGCTGAGGAAGCCCTACTCACTGCGTTATAGTAGCGGTTTTCCCGCCAAAGTGAGAGGACGAAAAGCCGATTTCCGGGGCGTATGATCCGATGAACTGGATATCGGCCCCCAATGGATTGCGTTTTTCACATGCCGCCTTGTAGGTCAGTCTTTGGCTAACCGAAGGCTCCGGTTGTGGTTTCTTGAAGAAAATTCACCCGCTTTGGCCGGGGTAACCTGACAGTACTCAGCCTACAAGCCAATCATGAAACGTTTTTCTTTTCTTGTGTACCGTAGCTTTTATCGGTGTTATCTAGCAAATCCATCTGTGACAGGGGTAGCACAGGTCGCGAGTCATCACATTGTTCCTAATTAGTTTTACTAGTAAACCATGGCGAGGAAATAAACCTTAGCAAAAGTGAACCTATTCGATCTCTGTTCGTCACTCCAACGCCAGTCACACAAACTCCTTCACGTTTTCACTTAGTTGAGGTAAATAATCCTATAAATGCACAGCGTTGACAATTTGCCTTTGGGTGATTTTCCCGCTCGTGATGATAAGTCAGCTTCATAGAACAATAGAAGCGATACCGACAAATTTTCAGGTGGAAGGCATCAGGGAGGTTACCTTATTTGTTGACGGGCCAAATTCACCCGTAACGATGATTTTTGCGGACAGCAGTGATGTTTTGTGGTAAAGAGGTTTCTGGATAGATGAAAATTATATCGAGTGTTGCCGTTGATCGTACTGGACCACTCACCGTGAAGCAATGCTCACCTTGTCACGATTAATTACCTGGGTGGCCGTGCCCTTATCCGCAAACAGCTCAGCTGATCATCGATTGAGTAAGGTTTCTGTGGTCAAAGTTAACGGAGTTTCAAAAATATTCTCCCAGAATAAACACTCACTTCTGGTCGTGATAGCTTTTTCACTCAAACGAAATATGCCATCCGCGTTACCCGATTGTTGCAACCGAAAAGTCAACCCAAAGTTACCATTGATTGTTCTCTACAAGATCACCATTTTTCCGAACCGTTTTCAATATTTAAAGCACACTTCTAATTCTTTTCTTTGTTTTGAAGAGTTCACAATGTTAGGAACACGAGTCTCTTAGATACAACGCTATCCTACTCGATGATCATCAAATGATTCACCCATTTTCGTTTGATCTCTGAACCAGAGCAAACCCTAGAGCCAGATTTATAGTTTGCGTTTAACGTGCCAGCCTTTTTCTTTCTCTGTCTAAACATAATGTTTTTGTGTCGCGGGTGTATTGTCATATATTTCGCACTGTGACTAACCTTAAGTGGTTCGGTATCCTGAGCTTTTGTCCCTACAATCGTCTATTTTCCCCCATTTTCGTCTTCACCCCTGGTTTTCACGTCTGTCATACCAGTTTTTACCCCATTTGGTTCGCGACACAATTGTTGCTCTTCGACTCAAGGGGTACAATCCTTCCGCAGCTTCTCTGGCACTTCCGTGCGCTCCACCAGAGAATTTGTCCAATAATTTCGCTGCTTCCGGCGACTTGGTGAGTTCATTCGTCCCAGAGCGATTCTGTCGTCTTACTTTGTGTTTCACCTCCGAATGACCCGTTATTTTTAAGAATCATTTGTTGCTGCATCTGTGCCGTTTATTACGTTTGCTGAATATTTAGTTTCTCGTTTGTTTTGGTCTTGCGTTAGGTTTCCTTGCTTTGCCTTAGCGTGTCGTGAAAGAGAGCTCTCTATCTGTCATGATAACTCGAAGACGTCCGACCGGGTTGGCGCGACGTACTCCCATGCTTGAACTTGATGTGGTAGAACGAGAAGTTAGTAAAAACTAGTAGCACCATGCGTGAAAGAGCTGTAAGTCTGAAGCTATTTAAAAATGAACAAGAGCGTCATCTCCTCTGGAACTAGCTACCAGTGGTGCCCGAATTAGTGTTTTCTTCACCACAAGTCGTTCCGCGCCTCAGTCCAGGACATGGCAGACCGCACTGATCTAGTTCGAAAAGAGTGAATTTTTAGTCACAGATAAGCAGGACCACAAAAGACAGATCCATCGTACATACTTATTTGTTCACTTAGAACAAGTCAAGTGGAAATCACCAGTGTCTTATTCTCGGCTCTGAGGTGAACGAAAGTGCTCATTCAAAGTTTCTCGGTCGCTGAATCTAACTATAATTTGATTAGCAGGTATCGCATAGGATCGGGTCACGGACTAAGTGGAGTAAAATTTCCGTATTAGCGCGATATTTTGTCATGTGCAAAGCAAGCACAACCTACTCATCTCT